GGAATTGTCAACATTTTAATAAAAGACCATAAAAAAAAAAAACTTTAGAGCAGAAGACAGCAAACTCTCCATTAAAGGAAGTCCTTTATAATGAAAATATTAAGTAATGAAATCTTCCCCTATAGTAAATTAAGATTCTTCATTCGAATCCACATCACACTGACATGCAAATCTTTTACTTTTGTGTATAGTTTCTATATCAATGTATATATTGCTGTCTCATTCATGATGCTCAAAAATTTTATCAATCTTTTTAAATTCATTTAGAATAGGATTATTCATAGATAGATTTTAGATATATTCATAGAACTTTATCAATCTTTTTATATTCATTTTTTTAATCAGTTTTCATTAACAATGGAGAATGAGCAGTATACATGTAAACTATCTTCTTTTTGGTTCAATAACCAATTTGATTCTAACATCAGCAAAAAATTTTGTTCCTTCCCCTTCATTCTAAATTTTTAGATAAGCTTTTTAATTCATTTGGGTCTGATATAATTTTTTTTCAATTAAGACACTCTATTTAATCAGACCTCTATTTAATGAGCATCTACTAAATATGCATTTTAATAATTTGCAAACATCAAAACATGTCCTAACCTTTACTTGTGTCTGTTTTCTCCTATCAGATTATGCATTGTTGTAACCAGTACAAATTTACAAAAGTTTTCAAATAATTTCATTCACTATTTATATCTCTTCTAGTTCTATATACCAAAATAGAATGTTAAGCTTATACTTTATTTTAGCGTTGTACAATGCATTTCTATTTTAAGTGATTGATGACTGGTACAAATAAAAACAAATGTGTTAGTTTTAGTCTTAGTACAATCCAGGCAAATGGGCATAAACAGAATAATTTTTTCACTCTCGATTCTATCTCCTAATGTGTATTTTACCACAATTTTGAACATAGAACAAAATATTTTATAGGAGTTTAATTTTATTTGATCTCACACGAGTTAGTTGGTTCATCCTTCTTTAGGTTCACCTTTTACAGAGCAACTGGTCTTTCTGATTTTGAAACATTCACAACCAATACATATTTCCAGTGGACACATTAATGAAACACGAGTTTCTACTCAAGAGATCATTTCTAATATTTAGTGTCTCCATCTATGAATTATAAAATGATATAAATATTGAATAATATTCCTTAATTTTTTTTCATCCATCAACCATTTTTTTTTTTTTTTTTTTTCCTTTTCACTCAATGTAAATTGTTCTTTACTATTCTAACTTATTTGCTGGAATTTATTGAAACCCCAATTGTATAACTTTAATAATGCAGGAAATCTTTCTACAGCAAATTCATACTATCCATTAATATTTAAAAATTAACGAGCAGTTGCAATTTCAAAACAGGATTTTTATAAAAAATAAGTATAATTCTTAAGAAAAAAAATTATATTCTATCAAAAATCATTATATAAATAGCAAGGTATGCCAATTAAAAGAAATATTCATAGACATAGAAAAATATATCAATATTCAAAACAGTTCAGTAACTTAAAAAATGCAATTTTATAAATACATGATTATGTAACGAATATTAACCTATGTGTTTCAAGCATAGAATTCTTTTTCTTCAATTATTTAAATATTTTCCTTCAGAGCATCACCCATTATGAAATAATTGAAAATTTTAAGGAAAACTTTATGGTAATTTATAAAATTTACCATGATTATAAATAAACAATGTAAAAATTTTATAAGAGACTAATATGTGAATACTAAAATGCTCAATAAAACAAAATTTTCAAATTTTGTAGAGGGCAACATATAACATGCCTTGCACATAAGTTTATTTGATATTCAGCCTTTTATAGACTTACACTACATAATTTTATAACTTTTTTTTTTTTTTTTTCATATCAAATTAAACTAAAATGTTCCACTGATTTAGAAATGATAAAATCAAATACAAATTTATTAAAATATCAAAGTATTAAATATGTATTTTACATTTCCATGATTTTTTTAAATTTCTGTTTTAAATGTTCATAATCAAATGTATAAGCAATACAATTTTAACTGTATGTAATTTTAATCTGTAATGTATATCATATACATACATTTTTTTTTTTTTACCTTGTATGTATTCTACCATTTCCAAAAACAATTAAAATGACTTGCTCCCATGCATTAATCTTCATTTATGAATTCTCCTCCAACAACAAATCTAAAATTCTAACACATTACTGAGGTGAATTATGCTAATCAGTAAATTCCATAGACAAATTAATATGTTTATTATAAACATAATTATTGTCTATTAGACATTCTATAACTATCTTAATTTTTGCAAGACATATTTTCATTTCAAACTTTTACACAGTCCATGATCTTTTATAAAAAAATATTGATTATCACCAACACTTTTTCTTTATTGAAATTGAATAATTTTTGGAAATAATCTTTATAAGAAATATTGAGAGTCAATGAATGACTTTATTTTGACACAATACCCGATATATTTGGAATTTTTTCGAAGTCATATCATTCAAACTTTTGTTTTCTAATAATTGCATTTAAATAGGACAAATTACTCATGACTCAGATAAAAAAATTTCGCAAATTTGCTGATTGATTATCATTGTAAACAAAAAAGGCTGTTAGAAAATACATAAATATCTGTATTTTAATTCATATATGAAATTTTTTAGTAGAATGCTGAACATAATTAAACTTGAATGATACAGAATTCATTATACAAAAGCAACTACCAGAATAATGAGGCAATTCCAAAAATATCTTAATACAGATGTTCATGAATGTTGTCTTTGAAAAGTTTTGTTTAAAAAGAAATGTAGTTCAAAATAAGTTGCTCTTTCTCATATACAAAATATTACTGTCTGTATTTTTTTATCTCATACAAATGCTAGAAAAATCTCAACTGACTGAAGTCTTATCTTCATGACGCATCACCTATTTGCTTAAAGGGGAAAAATTTAGTCACTTTTAAATCAATGTATGTCTGCATTAACATAACAAAAGAAATAGTAATGAATAAGCTTAATATTATAAGTAAAATAGACTATTTGTAAAAGAATTTAATACTTACCACTTTAAAAAGAAAAAAAACTTAATTTTGAACACTATTAAATTCAGTTTATTTTTAATCATAAATGGAGTGGCAGTGCAGTTTAGCTCACTAATGTTGTAAATTATACACATCTAGGTTTGAATCAAAATGTGACAGCTATAATATTCTATTAAGTTACAACATTTGATTTGTATGTATTTAACAACCATTCACTCCATTACAGTAGTGAATTTTTAAAAGTATTGTTACATTTAACATCAGAGGTTAATTTACATACTTTTTCCATTACATTAAGGGAACAACAAAGGCTCATTTTAACTTTTGCAGTTCTTCCTTTTCAGAATTTTATTATTTTTAAAAAAATGATAAATTTAGCCATTGATTTTACATTCTTGAAAATGCATCCGTGTGTAATTTTTTTTTTTTTTTTTCCTTAAAAGTGATTCAAGGAGATTTAAAATTTTCACAATTTTTCAGAACTACTATTTTGATATATCAACTGAAGTTAAACACATATTTAAAGTTGTGCGACTACTTATTATTCTATCATTTTGATGGTGTTCAGGTCTAATAAGGTCTTTATTAAATTCAGCTCAGAATACTATATACCTTGCAGGTAAACTTTTTTTCTCTTGCTAAATCAGTTAAAATGCTGTAAAATTTGTGTCTGTTTTTCACATTCTTCAAACTATTTTGTTCACATTTCATTAGAATGAATATAGATTTAAAAAAAAAAAAAGGCAGCAAAATCAATTGAACTATTTGAATTTTCACTAAATTATTAATCATCAATTTTTCTACTTGAATCAAGGATTCTTTTAAAGCCTAATCTTTCGCATCATATATTTATATCAAAAATATATATAAAATGCAAATTCTATTCACTAATTGTAAATTGATATTCATCAAGACATTTCTAGCATGTAAATTAAAATTGTAATTTTTTTGTCAATTACACAATTAGTGTCCTTCACCTGTAGGGGAGAGGAATTTTCATAGTGCACCTGCCAAATACAGATCCCCCCCCCTACCCCTCCTAAGTTGGTAATAAATAAGTCACTCAAAATTGCTTACATTTTGAATTTGCCAAACATTAGTAAAATTAAAAATTAGTTTTATGACATAAAACTGTTTTACACTGCCAAAAGCAATATGCCTATTCACTAATTTATACACAAGATATGTTCTTAGAAAAGTGTAAATCAATATCGTAGATTTTTATACCGAAACCACATAATTTGAAAATGAACTAAGATGCGCATAATTTAAGTCATCTATTTCAATGTAAAATAAAACTAACTACTTTCGAAATAAATCTTCAAAGTCTTATCTGTAAATGTATCAATTGGAATCTGCTTTTGAGTGGCGTCTTCTAGCCATTTCATTAATGCTTTTTCCATTGCAACTTCTCTTACGCTGTGTTAACATCCATAGAAGATCTAGCTGTTACACATTTTGTAATTAAGTCTTCAGTTTTGTAATGAAGTCTTCAGTCTTTCTTGTTGTCCTTATCGTGGCTTTATTCAAGGAAGAAAATTTAGAAACACCTGTTTATCTTTCTCCATTATGTAGACAATCTAAAATTTTAATTTTGCTTTCTAAAAATAAAACATTCAGTGTCTTTTAATTTCTTTTGACAAAACCTCTAAACCATTTTTATTATCCAGGTCAGCAAAAAATCATCAGTGCTTCCCTTGGGGATAAAATTTTATCTGCTATTCATTACAATTTACATATAATTTTATTTTAATTAGCTAGTTTAAATTTGTTTATAAATGTAAATTATTTTAATGTTTTCTACTAATCATTTCATTTGTTGAAAATTATTTGGTATTTATTTCTGGTTTAATATCTTTCATTAGTAATTTTACTTTAAATTAATTTCTGCATTCTCATTTCTCTGCACTCTCATAAAATATTACAAGCATTTAATAAATCTACAATTCATTTTGGTTCTCGTTAGATCACCGAAGTTAAGCATCATTGGGCGCGGTCAGTACTTGGGTGGGTGACCACTTGGGAACACTGCGTGCCGTTGGCAAATTTGGGACCTGAATGGCCGAGTGTCTAGCGCTCGGTGCCACAGGTTTCGGGTTCAAATCCCAGCGGTGCCATGGATGTTTGTAGTGGTTCGGAATCCACTTTAAGCCGTAGGTCCCGGTCTTCTATGACTGTAAGAGCGTCACGGAGCAAAAGTCAGGCTTCTACCTACGGGTACTCCATCACAACAGAAGCTGCTTCCTTCCCCTTCAATCATGAGTCCATATGGGCTCGTGGGCTTGGCCAGCCAAGTGGGATAAGAAACAACAACACAATTCATTTTTAAATGCTAAGTTATATATAATCCACAAAATATGGCAACATAAAAAAGTCAACAACATATTGAAATCTTATTTCAATTTCAATGATATAGCAAAAGTATTTTGTCAAGGCTGTTATAATTTAGGTACCACAAATTTTGGCACGTGCCTTGATTTATATCAACTTTTTTTTATGCATTGAGAATAATGATGCTTTTAATTTTATAGCATTTAATGCATAGTAAATTCAATGAGCTACACTGCACCAATTCAAACAATTATGATCATTTTAAACGCTCTTTGTTAATACATTCATTTGTATATTAGTCTAATAAAAATTTCACTTAATTTTAAAATAATAACATGTTTTACATTTTAACTAAATAGAAAAACGTATTACCTTACCTTGATACTTGAAAGTCTTCATACTTGAGTTATCTTACCTTGACACTCAAGCTTATATGATACTCATAAATCAAATCTTTTTTTTATCTTCTACAAGGTGAATTCAATCTTTTTATTTTTAATCTTATTTGTAAAGTAACTCATACAAGTTACAAAAAATGGTTTTAATTCCAATTATAATTTTTAAGTAATTTCTTAGCTTTCAATCTACATTTCCTGTGGATGCTTTTAAACATTTAAAACAAGTATTTCTGAGGATATCAACTATAAGGACTTTCTTCAGTGTTTACTCTGATAGACAGCAACAATGCAAATATCAATAAAATTATCATCACAGTAATAAACTAACCATCTCATATGCATATTTCTTTTGCAGTTGTCAAATGCTTTCTGAAAGAATATCTTCACATATTGAAATGTATTCTCAAAGCCATGCAATGAATATGCAAAGATTTTCAAAAATAAAAATAACTATCTTGAAATATTTACAGTCATTTGAATTTAAGTCCAGTAAACTAAATAATTAAAGAAAAGATTGTTTTATTTCAAAATAAATTTTCATACGTTAGCTTTTTTTTTTTTTTTTTTTTTAATTGCTTCCCAGTTAAACATACATACATGAAGCAAATTCTTGTTGCAACTATTCACATTATTTCTATAAATTTGTATTTTTATTGCAACTTTTTGACTGGGTTCAAGTTCCGATATATCTAAATTGGCAATTCTTCAAAACAAAAAGCTGTTTTCATTTTTTTACATAATACAATGATCATTGAATTGTTTATAACACAAGCCTATAATTTAAAAATTGTATGTAATACTCTTAATTTATGATTGTCTTTTTCTTTTCTGCATATTTATAAATTTCAACTAGGAATTAAAATGCAATTAATGCTAAGGGACACTTCAACTATATCAATTCAATTATAATAGCACATTTATTTTCATACCAATTTATTACATATTTTCAGTATCTTACAACATTTTTTAAATGATCGATGTAATCTAATGATAAGAAATAAATTTCATTTCAAAATCAATTATGAATCAATATTGGTTGAAATATGTTTTTAATATTTCTTTTATAGCACAAATTGATTACAATACATAATAGTATGCATATTTAATGAATTTTCATTTGTTCTACAGTACTTGTCATCAATCAACACAAATAGTTCAAATTTTTTGTATTGTCTTTAGAAATTCCATCATTTTATGAAAAAAAAGTTCAGTTTGTAAATTTCATTTGTTTAAGCAAATGAGTTCTCATTATGGTAAAGAGAAATTAATCTGCATAACATGGTTTACAAGATTGATTATGAAAATCTCTTAATGTAGGTAGCATAATATTTACATAAAATTTTTCTTAATTTAATAATGATGAATCAATTCATGTAATTTTTTTATCAGTATTAAAAAAAATTCACAAATTCCTAAGATTTCAAAAAAATAACCATTTCAAGAATAAAGTTTTTTTCTTAATGATAATACTTGAAATTAATACAAGTAATGCATTACATTAATACAAGCAATGCAACTTGCAGCTATCAAAAATTAGTAGCACAAATGTATTACTAATATCTAAGAACGATTTAGGTATGGAATACGATGCAAAAAGCATGAATGTCTATATTTAATAATAACCCATTTTACGTCCTCTAGGTGCATAGCCTGGTTTTTCATTACTTCTACGCTCATTGAATTTCCAATCTTCTCGAGGTTTGCTTCGAGGAACAAAGCCCTCTCTTGGAGTAGCAGATTCAGGATGTGGCCCCCTGAACTCATTTCGAGAATAAACCCTCCTTTCAGGGCCACTGTGATAAGTGACTTCCCGTCTTTCTTCTCTTTCTGCAAACTTTGGGTGAGGAGGAGGTGCATCAGCTTTTTCTCTTCTGAACTCCTGAGGAGGAAAATCTTGTTTTCTGTAATTCGGATTATCACGGCTATAAGCAAACTTTCCTTCACCGCTAAATTTTTCACGGTGGAAACTAGATGACGGATTTTCATAATTAGCTGGGGATTCTCGTCGCTTTTCAGCCCAAGCATGTGGCATCCCTCCACCCCTACGATTAAAGGGTCTTTTTACAGGATGACTCATCTGAGATTGACGTCGCAATTTCTCGCGTTCAATTTCAATTTGTTCTCTTTCCATTCGTTGCTTTACTCTCTCCAACTTCAGCATTTCTGCTTTTTCCCTCTCTAATAATTCTCTTTCTATCCTGAGCTGATGCTTTTCACGTTCAAGTCTGTAGGCCTCTTCTTTCTGCTTCCTTATGATAAGTTTATGCCGAAACATATCATCATCACGATCATGCATCCTTTCATCTCTTTCTCTGAGATAATCCCTGGGACTTCCGCGTTCTCCTGCTCTGTGTGGAAATTCATAACGAAAACCACCCCTAGAAAATGGTCGAAAACTTGAACGATCAAAAGTAGGAGACCTACCAAACGGACGCCTGAAGCCAGTAAAACGACCTCGGCCTCTAAATGAAGACATTCTTCCTCTAAAATTTCCAAATGGTCTTCTAAATGAACCTCGACTAAATCTCCCTCTAAAATATGATTTATTATCATAACTACGGTAACCTCTGTCTTTAATTTCTCTCTCATCATCATCACTTTTTTCTTTATCTTCATCATCATTGGAGTGCTTATCATCATCAACAGATTCAGTTGATTCATTTTGCTTTTTAGATTCATCCGATTTATTTATGGTGGAATCTTTTTCTTCTACCTTTTCTGTTGGCTTTTTAGTAACAAGGGTTTCAGCCTTCTTTAAAATAGGAGCAATTTGTCTTCTCTCCACAGATATTACATGACCACCAAATTCAGTACGATGAAGTTTCTGAATACATTTTGACGCATCTTTACTTGTTGCCATTGTTAATAAACCATACCATTTGCATCGTGTACCTTTAGCGGTTCTAACTATCTTTGCAGATGTCACTTTTCCATGCTTACTAAAGAGATTCTTTAAATCACCAACTTTTGAAGTGCTAGTTAAACCAATAACCCAAAGAGTTTTGGCAGTCATAGCTACTTGCTGCACTTTATCTTTCCCTATAACTTTTAAAACCTTATTTTTACCACTCTTAGCATCAGCAGATTCAGAAGTAACATCTTCACTTACTGAAGCTTCATTTTTAGTTTCATCTTCCTCCATTGCCTCCGATTTAGAAGTTTGATCTTCTGCGTCATTTGACATATCTTGGCGTGGCGTTATTTTAAATCGACCGCTTTCAGTATCCTCTTTATGCTTATCATATTCTTCGTCACTACATGGAATATCCTCATCAAATCTATCCAAATTCAACGATGTGTTTATTACATCCTTACTTTGTACTTCTTCAATATCCATATCCCCTTCATCAACGTCACTTCTGCGTTTAGAATTCTGAGCAGCAGCAGTTTCAAAACTTTCAAATTCATCAGGATTAATTCCTTCTTCTTTTAGAGCATGTCGTAATCTTTCAATTAACACAGACTTAACTCCGCTCTTATCTAAGCCTCTCTTGTCTAATTCTGCCTTCAAATCGGCAACTTTGAGATCTGCAATAACCAAATCACCTTTGGCAGCCATTTTTCATAATAATAAGAAAAACGTACGATCAATTTCCAATACCGATAATTTTAAATATGGACAAGCTCAGAAAATGGCGTTATAACCGACAAAGGACGCCATTGAACTGAATTGTAAGTAGTATCTGGCAACAATATATTTTTGTCAAATACTCTAAAATAGTATAAATGGGTAACTTTGTAATTTATTAATTCCTGTACCAATAAGAATTTTTTTTAATTAATGTTTAAATAATTATAGAATTTATTCAAATGTTATGAATATAATTTTTAATTTAGATGTATTTTATCAGAGTAATAATAATAAAACTCTTATAATCTCGTAACAACTCTTAAAATTTTATTTTTAATAAGGACTACACTTGAACCATATTTTAAGATAGAATTTAGACTTTCTCTCAATAATATTTTTGAAGAAAAATATGTTATGTTTACAACTGTCATAAGATCCTTATAATGTCGTGGTATCATAGATGAAACAATAAAGGATTAAAAAGAGAAATAAATTGTGAGCTTTATAGTCAATAGAATTGAAAAGATTTCTATATTATATTTTCTTTATTTTTATCATAAAAATGAAGGAAATCCATATCTTAATTTTAAAGATTCTTATCTGAAAAGTTTTACTTGTATACTGCATGTGGGAATTTATTTCTAGGTATAAAAAAATTATTGGCAACATGTACCACATCGCCGCCATTTAGGTGATCCACACATAACAATTTTGTTTATATACAGAGAACTAAAGATTAA